AAGGTAGCAAATATTGCCTTGAGCTGTTACTAGCCTCAGTGTAAGCGTACTTTATGATGTTTGGATAATGAAATACAATTCTGTATGTTTTAGGGGGAACCAACAAGAGTTTGGATGACATTCTCAAAAAGTACTGAGTGTCCCAGCCCAGTAAGGCTGCAACCAGTCAGTCTATTTCAGCAAAGAAACTACCCCTGCATTTATCATGTGCACTGGTTCTAGCCGCCCTTTACCTGCCACAGTGAACGACCACAGCAACCAGGTCATACATGCGGTCCAGGTTCACAGCATCACTGGAGGTGTTGAAGAGGCGGAGCTCCAGAGGGAAGACCACCCGGTAAGACAGCTTGGTGTACCTGTGGAGCTGCTCCATGTACTTGAACCTCTTTAGGTGCAGAGCCAAAATCATGGGGAGCTTTTTTACCCTCATCCTAAGAAACCATAGAAGAGAAAATCAGTTGAGCCCAAGCCTGTCCAGGGAAGAGAACACGCTGTCACATGCGTGAACAAGAACACAAAGAGGTCTGGAACCATTTAGACCAGCAAACAGCCAAATAGTTTGCAAGAAGAAAAATTAGCTTGCCAATAGAAAGCTTATTTAAAACTACATCCTTACCTAAATGGAGCATGGCTGGCCACAGCAAAGCCCAGTATTGTGTCTTAGGACAAAGCAGACATTCTAGAGTTCGTGCACCAACAAAAACACGATATGGCATTGCCACCTGTCACTGGTAGAATCCATTTGGATAATCCACCCTTTGAAATACTGACAGGAAGACTGACAGCTTTTGAAAAAAGGGAGGACAAAACAGAAGGATACAGACAAAACTTCACGTCGTGAGGATGACAGGAGGAAGCTTCAAGCAGGCACTCCTGGGCTTCAGACACAGGGTACCAAGCTCACTCTCACACCCAATTCACGCAAGCTGGGCAGGCGTTGCCTTGGGGTTACGTTTCTCAAACTGGGCTCAAGAGGGCACTGGAGATGTCAGCAGACCTGGCATTCTGATGGCTATGTTTAGACAAGACTTCTTCCTAAAGCCTTTTACACATACTACTGCACTTAAGGTCTGCGGAATCTTGCAGCAAAGGAACCATCTTCAGTTTGTTTAAAGCAGCATGTTCCAAACTTGCATAAACACAAAAAGCTGTTTTTGCTAGATGTCTGTTAAAGATTCCTCAGTAAACTGTCGCAACCCTAAGAGCTTCTGCAGGTGGCACTCCTGGAGGACAGAGGCTTCCAGTGACCCTCCAGGTCTCCTGCACGAAGGGTGTGCTCAAATGGTAAATGCTGGTCAGCTTGTGCACACTTTCAATGCATATTGCTTGAAAAGGACAAATTTTAAGAAAATATTACGTATTCTATTAAGGGAAAACACTGCTCATAAAAATAAGTAAAATACAAACATTGGTAAAAATATAAGAATTATGGGGGAAGTGTCCTACCTTACAGGGACATATGACATCTTAATGCATGAAGCTTCCAGAGCTAAACAGAAAACACATTCATACCACACAGGCAGACCTGGGGCTGCCTCAGGTGACTGGGACTGTTAGGAAGCACAGCACAGAGGAGTTCTCTGTCCTCCAACAAGAAGTGTCACCATCACCTGCACTGCTAACTACAGCACTGATTGATCCTTTCTAAACTCTGAACCATCAAGAAAGATGTACTTGTCCAGGCTGGAGGGCTGAGGAGGTTCAGCAGAGAAATCACTTCAATCTCAGGTCTGGACACACACACATCCTGGGAAGGGTAGCAATATTGAGTTCCTGTGAAGTACCATGAAAATTCCAGAACCACCAGCAAGATAAATGTAACTCTCAGTAAGGCTCCTTGGGATGATTAAAACGTAAGCTTCTTGGCCACTGGGAGCAGATAAAGGGGAACAACTAGTAATCTCAGATTCTCCAAGAGCTGAATGTAATTGGCAACTGCTGGTGAAACAACAGGGAACTCTGAATCCCACATTCAGTTCAGAACACAGTACCTTTATCACCTCTCCCCACAACTGCTAAGTGTTTTTTACTCCCTCACAACTTTTATTAAATGACATATTTTTTTAAATCTCTGTAAATAAGTATCTATAAGTAACAGAACAATACATGGTACTGTAGCTACCGTGTGTTATGTTTCATGCAAATTACCAGAAAAATGGACAACTTCCAAGGTCAGCATGCTGGTGAAAGTTTTATTGGTGAGGAAGGTAAATGACCCACCCCAGGGCTCCAACAAGCTAACATTCAAAACCAGACCTGTGGTGCCCCCGACACAAAGCCACTCCCAGACTGAACCTTCACGCACCTTTTCTGGGCCTCCTGCTTGCTGCAGCATGTCTCACAGTAATATTTTTGTTCACTACACAGTGTTTCTGTGTTGCTGAAGTCTCTGTAGAGAAAAATATTTCCAGCTTTAAAATATCCAAATATACTTGGTATACCACGTTTTAAACCCTTTTACTAGCTGAAAATTAATTTGTAAGCAAAAATGAGGAAAGCAGTAATTGGAAATGATTTTTCTTAAGACTAGGAGCTACTTATACCATTAGAGCATGTCTACTAGACTGGTTATAGCTTCACCAAGTAAGATTCTCTAATGTAACTGTATTTAGGGGATTACAAACATATGAACTAGAGTTTCTAACATACTCATCAGAAAAGTATAGTGTTTAACAGGGATACTTATAAACTTGGTATTAAATGATTATAACAACAACAACAAAAAATTCTCTCATAAAAACACACCCCAGGGCTAGGAAGATAACTCAGTAGAATAAGCGCTTGCCTGGCAATCATAAGGTCCCGAGTCCAATCCCCAGTACCGAAAAAAAAAAACAACAAAAAGAAAACAAACAAAACATCCCAACACTGAAAGTCAGGTCCAAAGAATAATCATAAAATAAAAATAATAATTAAATAAACCACAAGGTGATATTATTATGCAGTTGATGAAAAACAGCATGGCTCAGAGAATCTACATTTTCAAGAACCTAAGAGGAAATAATAAAATTCAAATCATATACAAATGCCCTTGGAATTAACTAAGAAAAATCTAAAGTTATAGGAGGTCACAGCAGACTCCCCACCTTCCCAGAGTAGAAAGACTTTGGCTTGCCTCTTTCCAAGAACAAAAGCCATTGTGTTTGTTCTGTGAGTGTTCATCTTATTATAAGGTTTTACTCTGCTACTTATAGTTTTCATTTTTCAAATGTCATGCCCTTCATTCTTTTCTGATCATAGAGATTTTACTTAACATTTCTGTGGTTTGCGTCAAAAGGCTGAAAAGAACATCCACAATATAATAATACCCTACAGTCTTGAAAAGCGCCTGTGACATTTCCTTATTCACAGAGTGTCCTGGCAGCAGGATGGTCAGATTTTATTAAATAGAAAATGGCATTTAAAGGGTATTAATGACTCTACCACTGACACAGAATCTATCAAAAAAAAAAAAAAAAATACAGATTGTTCATTTAATAAATCCCGAGACATTCACGGACAGTCCTCTGGGTTAGATCCTAGGATTCCAGAGTACCTGCCCTCACACAGCTCAGGGGCTACGGAGACATGCACAGGAGCCAGTGGCCACAGGAAATGTTCAGTGCTGCTTGTACACATATGGCACAGTACAGAATTCCCCTGCCACAGCTTCCTTATTAGATAGGTAAAGCATAGGAATAGCCAGGCACCATGGTGCATACCTTTGATCCCAGCACTGAGGAAGGTTGAGGCAGGAGGATCACAAGTTCAAGTACTGCCTGGGCAAGTTAGAGAGACCCTGTCTCAAAAGAAAAATAAAAAAGGGCTGGGGATGTAGTTCAGTGTTAAGGCCCTGGGTTTAATCCCCACTGCTGCAAACAACAAGGACAAGGAACACCTTGGCATACAGGGTGGTCACCAGAAGGCACCTTGCTCTGCTCTAGACATTCTGGCCTTAGATTCTATTCCGCCTGCTTTGGGGTATTCGCAGGTGCTATTTCCCTAGCACTGACTGCTCCCCGGCTCCATGTCTCCCCGGTTGCCAGGCTAGCCATGAAGACCTCAGTGTACACATCCCTGCTCGTCAGAGAGGACTCTGCTGCTCATTTAGTCCAATCACCCAGCTCAACATGTTGCCGCCTGCTTTCTTCAGCATCCAGATCCTCAGCTGAAACACCTCCTATTCATGGGATCAGCTGCCGGCCGGCCTCTCTCACAGCCATCACCCCACCCTGATTCATGATGGCAACACTCAATACTTACTAGCTGAATGAATGAACTAGTGAAGATATCTTGGGAAAAGCAAAGAGGAAAGAGGATGACCCTGAACTGGGTTACTTCAAGCATTCCCCCCAAGGACAATGACCAAGTCATGTTTTCAAAGAAGGAAGAGTGTCCTGAAGTTCAAGAGTCAGGACCTACAGAGGCACTGAGGCTTGGCACAGAGAGCACGGGCACAGGAAGAACTGGGGGTGCTGGCACGACGCGCCTTTGAGTACACTGAGAGGCTGGGAAGGATGCTCAGGCGCTAGTGCCTCGTGAACACGTCTCAGCAAGAACAAGACACAATTGTGCACTGCTTCTGAGCAATATCACTTTGGGTAGTCCTGAAGAGGAAGAGCTGAAGGGGGCTCAGGCCAAAGAAACCATTTAGAAGCAAGTATACTCAACTTTGAGATTTCAAGTGTTTTATGCATAAACAGACTCAAATTTAGCTGACTAGACATTTAATCCACTGAGTAACAGGTATGAAATCCTAACTCAGTGGAATGGGACACAGCAGTCAAGGAAGGGACTGGGGATACAGACAATAATGGGATTTAGACCTGTGGAACACCCCCAACAGATCTCTTCATCTAGCTCAAGAATCAGAATAATTGAGGGAGAGCTTGGCAAGAGTAAGGAAGTAAATGCTTTCTCTTATTCTCACACCTCACAAAATGTTCTCTGTAGACCCAGACAAGAAATACAGCAGAATTTGTACAGGTTGGGCACCCCTGCTCCCTAAATCAGAACCACATCTGGTTCCAAGCATTTCAAATAAGGGATGCTCAGCCTGTACCAATTTACAAATATTCACCATCCTGCCCAGCCCCAGCTGGCTGGGAACCCAGTGCCATGAGAGGCAGGGGCATCCTCTCAAGGCATCTGAGCTGAGGAATGGAATGTGAAGGAAAATCAGGAACGGGGCTGACCTCAGTAGTAACTCAAGGCCGAGCAGGTCCATCAGTGCAAGGAGGACAATTGTTAGAACAAGATGACACAAGTCTGTCCTGTTACAATTCTGTATATGGTTAGTTTCTAAATTTCTTTGTAAAGTTATGTAAATGCTTATTTCTATCTTTATAAAATTATTTTTCCTACATATTCTGTAAGGTCTTAAAGTTCAATATTATCAATATTTGATGAAAAATACCTGTTCCACGATATGCCAAAGATGTTTGACATTTAGACAGATAGGATAAACCGAACTGCATATATTGCAGGTTAATAATAAGCTTCTCTTCTGGAGGGTTAACAACCTATGTTAGCAGTTCAAAATTGGAGAAAAGGAAGGGCTGCAAGGTCAGCCAACATTTTGGCCCTAGCCTTTCAAGGTCAGTGAAGACATAGGAGAACCTGTACTGTAACAACATGTAACTCAGTTGCGCTCCAAATTTTCTGATCAAGAAGATCATGGAGCCACAGAGGAATGTGATCGATGATGTATAGTGTGCCTGGGGAGAGTCACATGGAGTTAAAAAACATTCTCTCAGGCTTTCACAGAGAGTAAATTGTTCAAGCAATGGCCGTGAATCATCCTCATGGCTGACACTGACAAAGGATCTACAAAGTACGGTACAGGGCTACAGGATAAATCCTGAAGGTACTTGACTGACCTTACAGATGCAAAAGTTACATTTCTTGCTATATAGGTCTTGCTTTATCTTGGTCTTAACCATCTAGCAGAAAAGTATAAAAACAATGTATATGTATATAAAGTAAAGCCATATTAATACGATGAGCTGTAAAAGGCTCAAGTCAATAACTTATGAGGATAACCCACTAATATTACAGACTGCTAGACAGTGTCAGATTGTTTAGCTGAATTCAAACACCTTAATATTTAGATGCCAATAGATATTCACCTCTGACAGGACTAAACAAAAAAAAAGGGGATACAAAGGAAAGATCATTTTATATTTATATATACAAAATTATTAGGATAGATATACAGCTACTTTCACTTAATTCAATGAGAAGAGGTGTACTAATAGTGTTTGGACAGGATATCCTGTCTGCTTCTTGTACTATGGATAACCACTAAGAAGATAACAATGTATTGATTATTGAAACTGTCCTATTATTCAGCTTTGAAACTGTCTCATTCATATTTATTTCTCAAAAAAAAAATTTTAAATGAAGAAAAAAAAAGACTAAAAAAAGAAAAAGAAAAAGAAAAAAAGAACAAGAGTGACAAAGGTGGGAGGAAGCTTTCAAGGAGGAAGTCAAAACTGAGACTCTTTCTAACACTTGGGATGAATTACAAAAGCATGAAGAAGAGATTAGGCGAAAAGCCCAAAGCCCTTTGCATTTCTTTGTTTAAAAAGTCCTAGTATCAAACTCTACTTAAAGATAACACTTCAGGAACAAATCTAATAAAAAATGTGTATCTTTATAAAGGAAACTATAAAACTTTATTGACATATAAAAACCTTTACTAAATGGAGAGAGTTCCTAGAGGGGATGGCTTTCCACTAGTGTGGAGACAGTTGCCATGTACACATTAACACCTATACTTGACACATTTTCAATTATAGTCTTAACCAATTCAACACAATAGTTCAACAACTCATTTGAAACAAAAATTCTCAAGCCATGCTGCCTGATAACTTCCATGTGACTCATGTGGAAAGTGACATTGCTGAGAAACGCATGGGGCAAGCTGATGGGGCTACTCTGGTGGTGCCAATCATGGGACTGGAGTAGTGCCAGGCTTTGCTCAGCCTCTGAGGAGCTGAGACAATACCCGTAACTTTGTACCCTGGCCCTGGGAAGTGGTGCCCTACAATCTAGAGTGGTTTTCCTCCTCCTAGTGGCTCATAAGAATTACTGAGGATTCTTTAAAAACTATCTCAAGCTGGGCGTGGTGGCACAACCCTATACTCCCAGCTGAGCCATGAGTTCGAAGAGTCTGGGCTACATAGTGAGTTCAGGGTCAGCCTAACCCTGTCTCAACAAACAAGAAGCTATCTTAACACTCAGTGCCACCCCTCCCTTCCACTCCCATCCTGATCTATTACATCACAATCCAGGCAGCATTATTTTTCAAACTTCCTGCATGTTCTGGTTCACTGTTAAGAGCTGTTCCAGTACAATCTGAATATTAAGAGTGCTTCTGGGCCGCCTGGGAGTTCTATCAAACTGCAGATGCTGATTCGTTCCGAGGTGGGACTTGAGATTGTGCATTTCTAATGGGATCCCAGGTGATGTTTGAGTGGCAAAAAGCAAAACAGAAATTCTCAAACCTGCATCGTACTGACACATGGTTTGTACCACTCTATGCTCCAAGAACTCCAGAAAATCTGGTCTAAAAAAAAAAAAAAAAAAAAGTAAAGGGTTTATTCGAAGCCAGCTGTCAAGGAGATGCAGGGAGGCTTCCTGCTGCCTCACGAGTTTAGGTGTGAAAGGGCTTCAGGGACAGGGACAGAGGGCAGAAATACAGTGTGCCAACAGGCAAGGACACTGCCCTGGCATTTCATCCCCACAGCTAGTCTTCCCTCCTGTGTAAAAGCTCAAACCCTCCTGCCCCAGCTATCATCTGCTTATACCTTCCCTCAGACGAGCTGCAGTTCAGCCAATCATCTGAGCTGAGCCCAGGAGCCGGTAGCTGTTTATGCCCTGGACATGTACTAGCCGCTTCCCTGAGCAAGTTCAGAGAAGCAGTTGATCTATAAAAGACAAAAAACTTTTGTATTTTAAAGGTATGTTTTACTTTTTTTGGTTGTAGTACCATAAAAACCAGAACATTAATTAAAGAGAACTCTAGTTCCAATGAAGCTCCTAAATATGGCCTAGGTTCTATTTCTGCCAATTTCCTAGAACCAATGATCTGGGCTGGCCAAATAGCTCTGCGGATTAAGACACCTGCTTGGGCAGATTAAGGGGCCAGGAGTTCAATCCCTGGGTCTGTCATGCTAGCCCGGTCCCCTGGGTGCGCTGAGATGGTAACTGAGCCAGTGACTTAGACGAGTATGGTGGCGCGTGCCTGTAATCCCAGCACTTGGGAAGTTGAAAACAGGAGAAGCACTACAAGTCTGATTTATGTAGTAAGACCCTGTATACCTTGCCCTAAATTTGAAAAAAAAAAAACTCAACGCCTCAAGTATTAAAGTCAATTTTAAAAAGAAATCCAGGGCCCGAGGGAGATAGCTCAATAGAATAAGCGCTTGCCTGACAAACGCAGGGTGCTGAGTTCAATCCCCAGTACCATAAAAAAAAAAAAAGAAAAAGAAAGAAATCCACAAGTCAGGTGTCTATCAGGTACTAGGAAACATCATACTGTATTATGAATAATAGCCAAAACTAAAACACAGGTCAGAAAAACAAATGGATAAGCAGTGGAAATGGATGTATACATTAACTTCAGTACATAAGTTTCTCAAAATAAGTAGAAAAAAGGTTTCTTTCAAAGGAGATTAATTTTCAAGAGGAAAGAGCTTCAGGCAAATTAAAGCCTGCTTTCTTCTTAACGTCTGGCCAGTCTCCCTGGCACGGGGAGAATGGGGATATTAAGTGGGAGGAAGACAGAGGAAGGGGAAGATGGTGCTCCATACTGAGCACTTTGAGGAGAAAGATTTCCAAGCAGGAGCCAGAGGGAGGGAGGAGGCCCTGAAGCAAGAAACAAAAATTATCAAAAAGGCCATGTTGGGACAATGAACATAATCTGCATGTACTTTAGGTTGTGGCCTGAAGGATTCCTTGAGCTTTTCAGAAAGAAAAATGAAATTCTCTCTTGATTTTTTGCTCTTATACAAACGGTTTATCTTGTTTAAGACACAGAACCTCACAAAATACTATACTAAAATTGTAACTCAGCCACGATGCAGACATATTTGTATGTCTTCCAGACCTATATCCTGAAATTAACCACTGTTACATAATTTCTCTAGGACAAATGAAAACGCCTTATAGTCCACCACCTAAAGCGCTTCTGGAAGGAAAGGTAGGGATCCTACATTCAAATTCCACAATTGCAGCTTGATTTTTTATTTTAATTGGAATTGCACTTTATTGTCTTTTTTTCCCCCATAATTTTATTGAGAGAAACACTTTTCCTCTTCTTTTTTTTTTTTTTTTTGCAGAACCAGTGATTGAACTCAGGCCTTTGCACTTACAAGGCAAGCGCTTATTCTACTGAGCTATCTCCCTGGCCTCGATTTTTTTTTTTTTTTTAGTTATTAAAATAAAAAGATGAAAGAAATATTACATCATAAAAGATACAGACATGGTGTTTAAAAAGAAAACTCATAAATTCTAATTTTAAAAACAAAAGAAAACGAATCTAATTAAGTCATGAAAGGGGCCAAGAAAGACCCTTGTCATCCCTTCTCTTTGGTCTCAGAGATAGGAAAGCTAATCAATCTGCTGACTTCTGTTGGGGGTGGGGAGCGGCTCTGGATACTGCCACGCCACCACTGCAGAACTCTCGGTGGTGCCTCCCACATCGGCAGGCTCCTCGTTGGGTATACATGTGGCAGAGGGGGAGGTGAGCAGGCCGAGGCCTAGTTTAGAGGTGATGCGGAATGGGAGTACAAAGGTGCTCATGTTTCAAAGGTTTGGGGGGGGGCTGTATATCTGCCCCAACCCCATCGCTGACATTTCTAAGTGCCTCTCTCCTGCCTCCATCAGGCCCAGAGGCTCTCCGCAGAACTGCAGCTGCTACTACCTGCCCTTGACCAGCCCAGAGGGGAAGTAGTCAACCTTCACCCATCCCCTCATCTGCAACTAATGTCGGTAGTACCTTAACTTTTATCATACCTTGCAATCATAAAACCCCGGGAAGACCAAAACTGGCCCTTTCACAACAATGTTGAAAAGTGGCATCCTTAATACAATCAAGCAAGGAAAAGAGAGGTTACTTTGCTTTACAAAACACATCTGCACAGCAATGCAAACCTACGCTAGGCACCTGGATCTAAGTCATCTGGAGACAAGACCAGAGACACCAGAATATCAGGAAGCATTCTGACAACTCTCCACTCTGGGCCAGGTGAGGACATGTAGACTGGGGCCGACAGAGAGGAAGAGGAGCCGGCCTTACACAGCATCCACCACCCGGGGCACCGGGTGTTTCTGAACTGTTCTCCTAGTGCCTTCATCCTACAGATGGCTTTCTACCAGGTAACTAGCCCAACCAGTTTTCCTTAACTATTCTTCTGAAAGGATTCAGGTAATCTGAGATCTTGAAATAACAGCCCTGTCACTTAAGCCATACTGATACAAATCAACAGTGCCTTGTTTCAGCTAATTGTCTCAGAGCTGCAACACCAGTGTTCAGGAGACTTGCCTCAACCCCTCAGTCCACACTGGCACCTTCAGCGTCAGCACTCTCTGGGGTTTACTTGCTTCAAAGCACTGGTCACCATCTGTACCATCCTTCTAGAAGGTATGCGCATGAGAGTAGGGTCCTAGGTACCTTTTGGTGCCCGCACCCGGTATAGAAAGCAAGGCTGAGAACATTATAAACACTCATTTTCTCTTGTTAAAGGAAGTAGGGACAAAAAAAAAGGAAGTGAGACTCTTGTCTACGGGGCAACTGTGAGCACATTTTTAATGTCAGGTCAATATGCAACAGCTACAGTAATCCCAAGCATGCACTCTCACATGCTGGGCTCCTTCCTGTCTTTCGGTGCTAATGAGGGAATATTTCTTGCCATGAATGACCTCCACAGAATACTAAAAAGATGGCAGAAAGGGAAATTCCCTCAGCAGTTCTCAAGGTGCATAATTTTTAAAACAGAAGAGATTATCTCAAAAAGACTAATGAATGAGAGGCATCTTTAGCAGTTATTAACTATGTGTTTTTGTGGGGTAGAGAAAAAGAAAAAGACTTTTGATGGAAGCCAAAGTACACATCTGTATTAAAGATTAAAATTTAATTTTGCAAGTCAGTGACTAATGACTCCCATCTGATCTTCTCTCTGCTCGGTGAAACTCTTCTGCAGACCACATATACTTATTTTTACTCTCTTGGGAAAGAACAAACAGAAAATAATAGGATTATGCCGGTTACACTGCAAGAAAGATTATGTCCTGAAGAAATATAGAATTTTATTTCCCCCACTTATTCACTAGCATCAAGAGCTCACACCGCAAGTAGAATTCTTGAGGTTACCTCAGACAGTGGGTAATGGAAGTGTTCTGCTCCACATCAACAGAAAGGTCAAGAAAATCTTCATCTTTGCTACTAACCTGAAGCAAAAAAAATAAATAAATAAATTAAATAATAATGAGGAAAAAATGTATTGAACGTATTAGGTATGAAATACATAGTAGACACAGAAGCTAAAACTTTGAATCTATTCCCCCCCCCCGCGCCTTTTCTCCCTTTTTTGTGACGCAGGGGATTTAAACCAGACACTCATAGATGCAAGGCTAATGCTCTACCACTGAGCTACGTGCCCGCCCCCAAAACTTCGAATCCAACACTGAACTAGCTGCTGTAATAGCACAACCGCAGCAAGGTCGAGTGTGGCTATCTGCGCTCACTGGCATCAATCACCTTGAAAACACCCCAATTTAAAGGGCAGACCAGATTCTTAATCTCATCTCTGGGGTAATTCTGATTGGAAGCTTACAATTATTAAAACTCAACCAGACTGCACTTCCTTCCCAGCTACTGCCCCCACTGTTTCAACACAGCAAATTTCAGAAAAACATTTAGACAGCACAGCTTGGCAGAATGATGGGAATGAAAAAGGACAAGACACACAGAAAACCTACCCAGATGGTCACCCTTCATCGGGGGATTTTCACTTTTTGTCCTCCCAAGAAATCACTCCCTTCCACCCAGGCCTCCTTATTTAAACTGTGTGGTATACAGACCACACATCCAGCCATCCACTGGCCAGAAGTGCTCATCACTTGCACAGCCCTGTGCTGTCAGTGACTACAGTCAGCCCTGGAGCTGGCCTGGGTGGCTCTGGGCAGGTCACTGACCCTGGCTGCCTCTCCGGCTCCCACAGGCCAGTGCACACCAGCTCCAGATCTCACATGCAGTGAAGCTCCCTGAGCAAGTGCTTATACTGCACTCATGCAACCAACCACCCTGGGGTTCCCCATCTTGCTCTTGGAGCAGGAGGGACAAGCTGGCCCCAGAATATCTCCCCTATCACACATCTGCCTTTATTGTCAACAGCAGGTGGGACACTTCTGATAAGAGTAAAAAAATAATTTCTAAAGCAAGGATTAGTAAAGCTGCCTGGAGGTATCCAAGGGACTCATGTAGACACCAACCCAGAGCAGGTCAAAAAAACAAATGAAAATTATACTCCTTTTGGGCTAGGGAAAGAGTTTGGCAATCTAAGTGCCTGCCTGGCAAGCACAAGGACCTGGGTTCGATGCCTGGTATCTGCCTTGCTAGCCCGGAACCCTGGGAGTGCCGTGCCTTCCCCTACACCAGGCATGGGGGCGCAGGTCTGTAATTCCAGCTCTGGGGAGGCTGAGACAGGAGGATCACTATGAGTCTGAGCTGCATAGGGAGACCTTTTACCAAAATACGTAAATAATTTTTTTTTATTTAGAAAAAAAGAGAAATCCCACTTAACAGAAAAAGAAATTACACTCCTTTAAAAGAGCAACAGCTGGGTCTGGCCTATAATCCCAGTTCTCAGGAGGCTGAAGCATGAGGACTGCTGTGAGTTTGAGGCCAGCCTGGGCTACATAAGCAAATTCAAGGCCAGCCTGTACTGCAGAGAGAGACTCTGTCTCAGAAGAGGGGAAAAAAAGTGTGACAACAGCCCTGAACCCAAATTCCAGAAATTATCTAAACAAATACTCAAAGTGATGGACATACCCTTTTATGTTTAAGTCTACACAAAATGTTCACTGAGACAAACCACCTAGCTTCATTTCTTCCCTTGCCCATTTGAAACTAGATGATCCAGAGCCAGCTACTTAGCCTCTCTTTATCTCAACTTCCTCATCTCCAAAGTGGGGACAGTTAACAGTATCACAAGATTGTTGTAAGGAAGAAATAAAGTGGGCCAGGGAGATAGCTCAGTGGAAAAAGTGCTTGCCTGGCAAGCATAAGGTCATGAGTTCAATTTCCAAGTACCACAAAAAAAAAAAGAAAGAAAGAAAGAAAGAAAGAAAGAAAGAAAGAAAGAAAGAAAAAGAAAAGAAAGTCATATATGTAAAGTGCTTTTAAAAGTGACCACTGAACAAATGAAGGAGAGGTGAACAATTCTAAATAGCAAAGAGGGCTAAAGTGTCAGACATGGGGTATCACACGGTGATTATAATACTAAGTAAAAAGCACACTGTACAACTATTTATATATATTAATTCTTGTTCTGTATTTTAAAAGGCTTGTGCATATTTGTACACATATGCCCTCCCTTACCACTCTCTAGCATTCTGCATTAACATTTCATGGCATTTATTCCTTCTATGACAGAAACCATTCCTGGCATTCCAGCATATCATTACAGTAAGCCCCAAGTCATGAACAAGTTCCACTCTGGGAGAACATTCAGAAGTCAGATTGCACGTAAGCCTGATAAAGTGAGTCTTACGTATCTTCTACACAAACATACAAGGGAAAGCATAAAAACCAAACACATACAAACAGAGATATTATAAATAATGCTTCCAAGCACCCTGGGCTCTGGCTGAGCACTGGACTGACATACATTATCACATGGTGCAGCAGGCACCCAGCAGCACAACCATGACTATGTCAGGCAGACATGTGAGCTACTTCTAAGATTTGCTGGCATCTGAGAATTTCATAATTCAGGTTTGTTTGGATCTCTGAAAGTTTGCAACTAGAATGTCCGTAAGTTGGGAGCGTCCTATACCATTGCCTATACTAGCTTCTCTGATGTAAGACCTTACAGATCCTTTCATCAAAAGTGACTATGTTTCCCCATTCTTGATTCTGAGTGCAGCCAAGTGACTTGCTTTGGCCAGGGCAGATTTCAGAAGACAGGTTGTAAGTGGAGGCAGAACAGCACTGGTGAACTTGCTCTTTACCTTCCGTCACAAGGCTGAGCCCAGCCCAACACACTGTTCTCAGGAAAAAGGTAGGAGAACCATGAAGGGAAGCTGTCCTGACCAACGTGCCCAGCTGAGCCTCGTCTGGAGTGAACCCCCTCAGCCAAGCTCAGACTCACGTACAAGCTAGCAGGCCTTCAAACACAGGTGAAGCCTAGTCCAGCCCACACCAGCTGACCTTTACTAAGCCCTAGTTGCATGAGTTATAATAATCAATGATAGTAAGATCCTAACATACTAAGACACACTCCTAAGCCAAAAGAAGACACTGAGTAGTGTCAGAATATGAACACAAACTGGCAGACAGAGAATACCTGCCTTGAGACCTGTATGCAAGGCATCTGGGGCCAGGCATAGAGCTCAGTGGCATAAGTGCCTGGTGAGTACAAGGTCCCGAGTTCAATCCCCAGTACTGAAAGAGAGCTGCATAGTATGACAGAAGAGAGCTGCACAGAATGACAGGATGCGTCCCTCACAGCCTCTGCCTGGGGGCTATGGAGGAAAATGCAGGCTTTCTGGCCTGCGAGCCGAAAGCTACATCTGAGAAACCAAATCCACTGAAAGAAGGAAGAGTCTGAGATGGTATCCCCAACTCCGCTCACATGCGGCTGACCAATAAGGTGAACATCAAGCTTGGAATGCACTCCAGGCGACTTAGCTGCAGACACAAGGACCCAAGGTTCAAGCGGCCACCCAATAAATAGTGAGTCCAAGACAACTGCCTGCTACAACTAAAGAAACTCAATCCTCACTGAAGAAAAGAAACACAACCTAGAGGTTCTGCAGCACCTCAATGTCCTGGACAAGGGCCAAACTGAAGATATATAAAAAATCAAGAAAATGGAAGGCAGTCTTAAAAGAAAATCAACAAGACTCATCCTGACATGTATCATATGTAGGAATTAACAGACGAGGACTTTTTAAAAACTAGTAAGTAACTATCTTGTAATGTGAAAGAAAAGATATTCAGAATTAAACAAAAAATAAGAAACTGCAGCAGACTGAAACAAACAAAAAAAAGCAAATGGAAATTTCAGAACTGAAAAGCATAATGCAAGGGATGAACTTACAAGAAACTAAAGATGACAGAGGAAAGAACAAACAAACTTGAGGACACATCATTGAGAATTATCTACAGCATGAAAAGAGGATGAAAATAAAACACTCAGGAGGCCTTTGAATAATACCATATATATATGAGAGTACTAGAAGGGGAGTGGAAGAAGGGGGCAGAAAAACTATTTGAAAAAATTAATGGTTAATATTTCTCAAATTTGAAGAACTATGAACATTAACATATTCAAGACATACAACAAATACCAAGCAAGACAAATAAACAAAGTCAGCCAAAGAACATCAGAGGTAAATTACTGAAATCCAAGAATAAAAACAAAATCATAAGCATCTGCATTGAAAATAAAAAGCACTTTATAAAAATAAATTGCTTAGAAGAAAATGATTTAATTAGCAGCTTGACTTCTGAAACTATGAAAAATTTCTCATGATACAATGAAACATCTTCAATATGCTAAAAGAAAAAATTATTGAGCTAGAATTCCTATGCCCCATAAATAGATCCTTCAAGAATGAACTAAAATGAAGAGACTCATAATTAAGACTTACACTGGAAGGTTAAAGGAAGCCCTCAAGGCAAGAAAAATTATACTATTTAGAAACTCAAAAAAGAACAATGAGCTTTGAGAACGGTGGTTTTGTTTTTAATAATACTTATGCCTCTTTGTCCTGTGGGGTTTAGGACAAGGTAAAGTGAGGCAGAGGAAATACCATCCGTGCACTTAGGGATTTTCTGTGAAACAGATTTTATTAACTAAGTGCAGACTGCAAAAATTGAAGAATATTAGTATAACTATCAAATGTACACATGTAATGAAAAGAGAAAAATTAGTATGGAATTGTAAAAATGAACATATTCAATTATGTATTTTTACAGAAAGAAAGGTATAAGAGGAGAATGAAAAACCAACAAGAATACAAAACATAAAATGGTAGCCCCACATTCAAATGCATAACTATAGCAAATATTAATTACTATAATAATAAAAGTATTTTTTTTTCAAATTTTTATTGTTTGCATAATGTCCCAGGCACCAAAACCAGGACTTCACAGACACTAGGCATGTGCTCTACCAGTGAACTACAATACACAAGCAATAAAAAAATGGACTGTCTGTAAA